CTTGCTGATGTTGGGGATTCTACAGCTGGGTCACTATAGTTTGGTGAAAAGAAATTTTTTAAATGGGTAAAGATAATTTACGAGCTTCTTGAGTGAAGGTAGGTATTTTTGTGATATTCATGTTAAATTGTATTTCATATTAAATAGCTAAGGAACATCTTGATGCATATATCAATTTTAAAGCATGATAAAAAAAAATATATATATCTCTAATTTGTCTTTAACCAATGCCGACAGGAAAACGTTGCATTCACTTTAGTATTGTTTTGTTAAATGTTTGTGACCTCACTTTCCTTGAAATAGCGGGAAAATGCTTTTTTTTACTAATGCTATCAATATTGACATTGTTATTTTTTTTATACATTCAAATTACAACATTGTTATTCACATTACTAACAGCAGTATTAAATAGTAGAAAATATTATCAAAAATCAAGGAAAAGGGTAAACGGTGAGGCAGGTACTTCTCGTAATTGGCTCATTGGTGACTTAGTACTTGTAGAGCCATCTATATGTAAAATAATCACTAAATTAAACACACTGTGGGCATGGCATGTACATCCATGCCATCCCCAGTGGCAAATGGTTAAAGGACAAAATATTAAGAAGCAATATGACTTGATGGTGACAATAATGATGATGAAATGAATATAATAATAATGAAATTAATTTACCTTGGAGTGTCTGTTCCCAGAAGGAGAGCAATGTTGTTCAGATTCCTTTCTCCATTAAAGAATTCATCAAGCACCAGTTTTGCTGTCTGATGGAGAAGAAATATAGCTTTTACATAAATAATAAGCAACAAATGATTTATAAAAACAAATTAAAATGTCAATGACCATCCCACATCAGTCCTCCCACCCACCATGTAACTTCAGTTCATGCCTAACCTTATAAATTAAAGTAATTCCAATACATTGACATCATATTTTCTCCTCGACAGCAACAGTGTCCTAAATATAATATACATCCTTCAAAAAAAAACTAATACAATTCTTCCTCTTGACTTCTATATAATTTCTCCTCATTTCAAAGAACCCTGGTCAAGAAATTCCACATAAATGAGAAAAACAAAATCTTTGACACCTAAAGCTTTGACCCTAGAACCCCATTACTTACCCTCACAAGATGCAGGTTGTTGCCTGTGATTCTCAAGGCATCCGAGCCATGGGTCACTGTGTACCGGTACTCCCCAATTGGTTCGTCTCCCATCGACTGGCTGTGGACTAGGGTGTTTCTTTTGGAGCCTGCATGTCGAGAACCAGCGGAGACAAACATTTTTAAAACAGGTTGTACTTGCTATAAATGGTAGTCTAGACTTATCTCTTTATCAATGTATTTTTAGTATTTAAACAATAATGAGACAAATGAATTTTCTTTTTGAAAATATACTGAATGAGTTTTCTATTGCATATGATATCAAATTTTAGCACATGATTTTATGTTCCATTTGATTATTCAGCATCAATACAAATCATTAGCTACTGACAAGTAACAATGCATTTTAAAGTGAGCATGACTTAATGGTATCTGAGTTATATCTGAACTGATGTTCCTGACTGGCTGGATTTCATGACTCTATGCTGACTGGCTTGATTTCCGAGGCATCGTAAAGAACAGACTGTATAGTGTTTGAGATTGACTGGCTGTCAAAATGTCTCAGGCATTCAGGTATAACAGTCACTGACTGAGTTATGTCATTAATCAAAGGCAATGACTGATGAACAGCTGAAACTAGTCCAGTCACGAGATCAGCCAGTCAGCAACACTAATTCTTAGATGTTTGAGAAATAACTTTATTTTGTACATTCATTCCATAACCATAATAAAATGACTACTTTTTTTTTTATAAATGTTCAATTAAACAACTCATAACACTGTACACCTTCACAACAAGAGTTTTAGATACACCATGTAACTATTACATAACATGTTACAAAAATGCCTCTCCTATGAAGAGCAGTTATCTATGAAAAACTGTTCCCAAGAAAACCATTAAAGCATTTTTTTCTACCTCCTTTTCTACTTCTCAGCTACAAGAGTATATGTAAAATGAATTTATTTATCTCAATACTAATATATATGTTTACAAGAAAACCAATTTGATGTACAAGAAAAAGGTAAAATACTACTAAAGAGCCACAAAATGTCCACAAAAAATTAACAATTTTTAAAAACTCTTCCTCTTTTAAAATTATAACCAAATTAAGATTTCAGTGAACAGTAAAGAAAAGAGGCATTAATGTGTAGCATTTCATGAAATTTATGAACTAAATAATACTTTATGAAATCATTGACAAATTTGTAAAACTGCACATAAAAGGAAAAAATAGATTACTGTTGATGAAAAAAAGCAAAACTAAATTAAAACTGTTGATTAAGAATCTATAATTTACTGATTTCAATAAAATTCTCCTTAATATGAAATGTCATGATTTACAATACAAAAAAGGTACGGAAAATCCAATTAGCGAAGGGAAAAACAAGATGAAAAAAAAATA